TGCCGTACGTGAAGCCGTTGACCTCGGGGAAGTACAGCGCGCATTGTCGCTGCCAGTAGTCCGCGCTCACCAGACGGGGGATCAGCGTCGTCTCGCTCGAGGGGGCCCCACTGTATTCAGTCAGTTAACTTCGCGCTGGGGTAGCGGGGTAAAGGGGGTGCGTACTCCTGCCACCAGAAGAAGGGCTCGTTGCACAGGAACCATTGCCATTGGCGGTCGACGGCGTTGTCGACGGATGTGTCCGTAAAAAGGGGGCTGGTGGTGTTGTAAGTGTCGTAGCAGGCCACGCTGTACTCGTCGGACCAGTAGCCGTACGAAGCGCAGTCTGAGGTTCTCGGGTTAGCTGCGCGCTCGTCTCGTTGGCTTGGGTGACCTACAGCCGGGGAAGATTTCGTTCTTGAACCAGTTGGCATAGCCTGTGAGAGCCTTCTCTAGGCCGACTCCCTCCGCCCCGGGGGTGACGGCGGCACCGGCCTCCACGTTCTGGTACCGGTCAGCAACATCCTTAAACAAGCCAAGGTAATGCTGCAACATACCTCGACAGCATCGCAGAAAGCGAAGAAGCCCGAGTAGCCGGTCGCGAAGGTGTTGTCCTGCCAGAGGTAAGGCCCAACGGGCAGCACACTGCTATGGTCAGTACGCCGTGCACTCAACTCGCACGCAAGGAATGACATGAACGACGTACGCTGCGAAGTCATCGAAATGCTCGAGAGCCTCGAGGCCAAACAGCTTCTTCAATTCCGTCTGCTGAGCCTTGGTGCCAGACTTGCCGATTTTATCAACATGCTCGGCCACCAGCGAGACGTCCTTGCTGCAGTTCTTGGCCATGCCGTCCTGGATGGGTCGGAAGTATTGCCACTGTTTGGTCAGCTACGGTGCATCCTAGCCACGGCGCAGGTCTACTCACGAAATCATAGATCGACTCGACCGGAGCGCTGGTCGCGTGGTACGCCCAGAAAGTCCCAGGAGCCAGATGCTCGGTCCAGGCCGTCAGGGCTCCACTGTAAGAGCCACCGACGAGCACCCACGGCTGTAGCGGATCATCAACAGGTGTCATCCAGACCATCAAGCAGCCAGGCCACTTACCACGTGGGGTGCATTGCTGCTAGTGCTGTTGCGCGCGAACCCCAGTTTCACATTTTCCGCAAAGTAGGTCAGATCGAGGACGGATTGCTCCAGGGTGAGGTACTGGAGGGTCTCGGCGGTGAGGTTGGTGTACGGAGAGGAACCACCCCAGTAGCGGTCTATCCACGTTAGTCGGACAGTACACGTGGTCGGACCACAACCAACTCACGCTCGACCAGAACCACCGCACCCTGCAGCTGCTGCGCATAGACACCCGTCAGGGTGGAATTGGTCAGGTAGCCCTGATACCCGTCGGCCGAGACCTCGCCGGGGGTGAACAGGACAACCGGAGAGCCCGGGCCACCCCAGTACTGGGCGCTGTACCAGTAACGCTGGGAGAAGGTACCCTTGGACGGATCACTGTGGTCGATCAACTGCTCGAACGTGCTTTCTACCACAGACGATTCACTCGCTTGGCTTGTGGCAGCGATCGGGCGTGGAGCAAGACGGGGAGGCCGAACAGCTGCCGCGAGTGATGCCCACAGAGCCGTCACGGCCACAAGACTGACAGGGGAACAGAACCGCATGATCGCAGTGTCCGAAATCCGGGAGCACGAGCGATTGAGGAAGGGAAGAGTCGCACGATCGGCCTGTGCAAAAGTCGTTGGGGGGGCTGCGAGCAATTTATGAATGCGTCGAGGGGTCTGTTCGTCGCCCCAGCAAGAAATGAACCGGTCATGGCGCGCACAATGCAACCCTGTGCCACGCTCTGGCCGGGAAGATTGCGCACTGGGTGGTGGTATCTGCAGGTGAATTGGCGAGGGCGCCGGTTGACGGTCGATGCAGCGAGGCGGATCTCCTCGCCTTCCTCCGTCGGACAGCGTCGGGCCCGCGCCCGTGGTGGAGCCGGGTTGCACACATCGTCGAGAACCGGTGTGCCAGCTTATACCGGAAGGGGCATTAGGCTCACCTTTTGGGGGGGTAAGTCTGCAGGAACGGGCTTTGCCGGTCGCGCAACTTGCAGGGTTAGGGCGAGAAGAAAGAGGGGGTGGGTGAGCGTTAGGGCGGTGGTTCGGCACGTCTAGATAACTGGCAATCTATTTGTTTATCGGTCCAATTTGCACTCTTATCGGTCCAGCACGCAATGCAATCTGCAGGGGCGGGGTAGATTCATTCCACATCCATTTATTCTCGCAGTGGCGTTCTGTGCATGGATATTGATACTCTTGTTGCTCCTTGTTGAGGTCTGAATCTCTTCCACGCATGCCCCTAATGCTGGTGAGGTGAGGGCTGCGGCGGTCACTTGACCGGGCTCTCCCTTGCCGCTTTCTCTCAACGTGACCTGAACACAGTGCTTTAAGCCATGTCAACTCTGCTTTTTTTTTTCTTGTATTCGTTATGGGAGTGAGAAGAAGTTTCGGCGGTTTTCCTATAATTGTCAACGTTCTGCACGAGAGAAGGATTGGAGGATACAGACACGGGAAGGAGCCAGAATGCCGTAGTTCGGCAGAGCTTATGTACAACATCCGTGCGGTCGACATCCAAATTCGAGGAGAATATTTCTTGCCAACTTGGCATGGCACCATGCTCGACCTGAACGATTGTATTGCTGCAATGTAGTGCCGGTTGCACACAAGTAACAAATTGTTTCGTGGTTTTCCTGGAAAACATATATATCCGAACATGAGCTGGGGAGGCCGAACCGAGTCCGGTATGTGAGCTGTACTCCATGGGTCTCATGTCGAGAAAGTGCTTTCGGAGACGTCGCTGGCGCATGCTCACGTGTGCTTGCCTCTATTAAGCGGTGGTTTCAGTGTCCTTCCAGGTTGTTTGATCACTTTGTACTCATACTATGTGGGGACGGAAAGCGCCGGGCGAGAAGGCGGCGGAGTACGGCAAAATGCAGCGAGCAGCGTCACATGACAGTAAGCCACCTGACTGACTGGCTGAAAGTGGCTAGTCCCTCTCCAGACGCTGGGCGTGACCAGCTGCGCCATGATCTGATGTCAAGCCTTATCAACTATCACAAACATCGCATGGCACGGTCCCTGCTTCGACTGGTGATGAGAAACAGAACACCAATGTCATCAAGTCTTCAACCCCGATGACATGACTCCCCCGCAGGCCTGCTATACCTGCCGATATCGGCGCATTCAATGCGACCAGGCGGCCAGACCCTGCGGAAAATGCAAGAAGGCGGGGGTGGAATGCCTGGACAAGAGACCCATCCGATGGGTCAAGGGCATCTCCATCCGAGGCAAGCGAAAAGGCTTGTCTCTCAGCAACTCTGATGCAGGCCCTTCGACCGGATCGGCCATCATCCCTTTCGTCGTACGCCCCAGACCCCCTGGTTCAGCCATAGATTATGTACGCAAGATAGGTAAGATCACGGTGGATGGGTTCGCCCGCCCTCTAGGGAAACCGAGGGTCTGAGAACTAACCAGTGCGTGACCACCAGCGCCTCTCACGATGTCGTCCGAGCTCGGAGATCCTTCAGTCGCCTGCTTAGACTCAACTTCGAAATATTACTTAAGCTACTGTAGGTAAAATCTCCACTTCGCTTGCGTGCATTTCTCTCATCACCAATTCACAGACGAGGATTGCATATGCAGCCTCTTCATCGTCTACGATAGCAGTAGTAACCCATTTCGCAAACTCATGTCGCTAGCCTTGAGTGACACCACTCTGATGAAGGCTGCTCTCGCTCTGGCGGCGCGCCACAGAGCGAATCTGGGCTATTCGTTCCAACGGTACGACGAAGAAAGGCCTCCCACTGACCTCAATGTGCATCAGGATGCCCTGGGATACAAACATCGCGCAATCAAAGCAATCTCGAATGCACTAAGTGATCCTGTCTTATGTACCCAAGACAGCACCGTGGCCAGCGTGTTTTTGTTGATCTTCCTCGACCTACTGGAGTCTGGAAGCGATCGGTGGAATTTCCATCTGGAGGGTGCGAAGAAGCTGATCAGTTTCAGCCAGCATCAAGCCCACGAGCCTGGGGAGACGGTGAAGCTCATCCGAGATTTTATCAATAGCCAGATATACCTGTGAGTCACTACCGTCGACATCCTCAGTACCCACAACTGATGTTGGCAGCATTGAGACGCTTGGCGCGACCTTCGTGCGTCCCAATCTGTTACCGGACTCGAACCCGTTAGAGCAAGCGCACGTGGTGTCCAAGGAAACGGAGGCCGTAGAACAATCGTTCCTTGGCTGCCCAGACTACCTGTTGATTGCCATTCGATGCATTTCGCTCTCTCGCGACTCAATCCACGACCCCTGCGACCAGGAGACATTGGAGTACCATCAGTACAACGTGGCATCGGTCGTCCAAATGGTGACGGAGTTCGATTGCCGGGCTTGGGCTGTTAATCTGCCGCAGTCTGATCGCACCAAAGAGAATGCGATAAATGATCTTTGCATGTTAGCTGCATCCTACAAGTTGGGGGCTCAGATCTACGGGCAGCGCGTTCTCGACGCGTTATGCCACACGACCACTTCAGCAACCGATCTTCTGACCCAGTTGATCCAGTCCATCGAAGCGCTCTGCGCCAGCGACAATCTCCTCAAATGCGCACTCTGGCCGATCTGTATTGCAGGCTTGGAGTGCCACCAGGCCAGGGAAAGAGATTTTTTGATTCAGTCGCTCGAGCAATTCTGGGACAAAACGAAATGCGTCAACGTGATCAACGCAGCCAAGATCTTGCAAGGACATTGGCAGCGCAGTGGCCGTCAAGCACAGAACTCCTCGCCGTGGGTCATTGACATTGGGCTGTCCGGGCGTGATTGGCTTCTGATTTAACCTGTGGCTCGTGCAGGTTAAGTTGTGGCTGGGAAGCTCAGGTTGGAATGGGGCTAACCTGTTTCGGGAGCCGTGGATGTGGCGGGGCCCGGGCGAAAGAGGCCTTTCCGCATACGGAAAGTGAGGGGAGTGGGGCCTTTTGTCATCCGCCACACCATCACCATCAGATCCATATAAGATGCTTCATGTCGAGATCTTCACACGAGGAGGTCTTTAACCTGACCGACCACTTCCAGATCGCTCCCTTACATTGTCCAACATGGCTCCAGGTCAAGCTCATCCTGCGACACTGGCACTTCATGCCGACGACCCTCTGCATCTGGTGACCGACGTCGCTCCCCCGATTCATCTTTCGACCACCTTTCGCTTCCCAGACAACCCCGATGACCTGATTCCGTCTGTAGACCCTGTTGTATGTGGCTACCTGTGGCTCCTGGGGTTCATATAACGCGGCTAACTTCCCCAGGACGAGTTCACCGGCAAGAACTACGTCTATTCCCGCGAATTCGCGCCCAATGCAACCCGCTTCGAATCCATCCTGACGAGTCTGATTGGGGGACATGCCGTGAGCTACGCCACCGGCCTCGCGGCTCTCACCGCAGCGCTGACTCTGTTGAATCCTCGACGCATTGCTGTGGGACAAGGCTACCACGGCAGCCATGAAGTCATCGCCGTGATCTCCCGCCTTTCGGGGCTGCAGAAACTCGAATTAGACTGCCCTGCTGAGAGCTTGGAGAAAGGCGACGTCGTTCTTCTGGAGACGCCGATCAACCCTTTAGGCACGGCCTTTAGCATTGAAGCATATGCCAAGAAGGCGCACTCCCGCGGCGCATACCTGATTGTCGACAGCACATTTGCGCCACCCGGCTTGCAGGATCCCTTCCAGTGGGGGGCCGACCTCGTTCTGCACTCGGGATCCAAGTATTTTGGCGGACACAGTGACATGCTGTGTGGTGTGCTCGCCACCAAGGACAGCAGGTGGAAGAAGCAGCTTATCGAGGATCGGCTGGCCGTGGGCAACGTGATCGGAAACCTGGAGGCCTGGTTGGGGGTGAGGAGTCTACGGACTCTGGAGGTCCGCGTGCAGCGCGCAAGCCAGACCTGCGGCAAGCTGGTCTCCTGGCTGGATCAGGCCATGAAGTCCGCCAACCCCGCGCCCGGCAGCGAAGAGAACGTAGTGCAGTCCGTGGTGGGCACAATATACCATGCGAGCCTGCAGGACGAGCCATGGCTGCAGAAACAAATGCCTAACGGGTTCGGCCCGGTCTTCGCGATTGTGCTCAATCAGGAGGATTTTGCGCGTAGCCTGCCCAGCAAGCTGAGCTTCTTCCAGCATGCGACCAGTCTAGGTGGTGTGGAGTCGCTGATCGAGTGGCGCGCGCTTTCTGATTGTCGCGTGGATCGGAAATTGCTGCGGATCAGTGTTGGTCTGGAGCACTGGCAGGACCTGAAGAACGATTTGCTGCAAGCTTTCAAGGTGTTGATCAATGCACAAATCTAGCTGGATAGTTCTTTTCTGGTGCTGTGGAGAAAATTCACCATTAGTCGCATGTTCTTTGAGTTTATAGGGTCAGGTTAGGGATTTAATCACTTTGTTCATCACTGCCTTCCCTTCTGCATTTCAAGCTCTCGTGCAAAGCGCCCGCGTATACCATCGGAACCAGGGCTCTTGGAGACATGGCTGAATCGCGAGAAATAGGTGTAACGCCTCCATTGAGTTTGAGATTTTGACGGCGGCCCTGCGGCCTTGGTGGCCAGGCTGCAAACCTCGGTGGCCTCAGCTAGTTCCTCCAGGATAGCCCGACGTAGTCAGAATCAAGCATCTTCCGCCTCTCTCACGAGTTCAATCACAATTGAGGGAGTTGGTGAGTGGCGCTTTCCTGCCAAGACCTTGTCCGCCTGGATGGAAGATGGGCGAGGCCGGGCCTCCAGCAGAGAATGCCACCTGTAGTGATTTCCCACTTGATATCCATAGCGATTAACTTGACACAAACGGATTTTTCTCGACGGCTATGTGGAGTCGGCTTTTCTTGCTATACTACTAGAGAAACACAAGAATGCCATTCGCAATTCTATGCGCCGTCATCCTCGTCGTCCCCGTCAATTGCGTCAACCCCATCATATCCCGATCTCTTCACTGCCATCTGGTGTCGTTTACAAACTGCGTTCTGGAAGCCATGAAGTGCGCGCTCCGCGCTACATCGTCGTCACTCTCCTCCTCAGCATCCAGGCTCCGGATGTACTCGTAGTTTCGGGACACCAGCTGCATCAGAAAGGTCGGTCGCCACCCCTCCTCGATCACTCGGGAGTTACATGCTCTCCACAGGGCTCGAAGGTGCGGTGGCAGCGTCATCGTTGGGGGATAGGCCGGTTCTATCATCGGCACGAGCAGAGTGATCCACTCGACGAGGATCTGGCCCCCCTGGGCTCCCGGCACTCCCCCATATGTCCGGAGCAGGCAGTCCAGCAGCGCCGCGGTCAGCACGTTCGGCTTCAGCGTGCGCACTGGCCACAGCCCGCGCCAGTACCCGCTGCCTCGGTCCTCATGGCGCGGAGGCACGGTGTTCGGATCGCTTGAAAGCATGTACGGCACCAGGGGCCCGGGTGGGCCTAGGAGCCCCGGGATCATCGCTCTGTTCACATCGGGGATGATGCGGGACTTGTTGTAGAGCAAAAGGCAGGTGTCATGCCCATTGCGCGCGGAAGTGTGCAGATGAGCGTCGAACCGCAGCCGCACGCCCGGGGTGCCGAGAAGGTAGCGACAGTCCGGTCTGAGCATGCACTGAAAGAAGCCGCCAGACCCTAGGACCTGAAAAGCCCGCCACAGATCGGCATCGTCGACAATGAAGCAACATTCATCGTCAGGTAGGTGTGGGTGGCGGTTCAGGTCGCGGCCTCCGGCCAGTCGCACAGCCAACCGGCCCCAAAGTAGGTAAGGGATGGGGCCGGAATTGTCCAGGGTGTGAGCTGCCATCGCTGCGATGTCTGCGGCTGTTGGATTGAGGTCACGCAACGACTCCATAGGGACGACCGTGTCGATGGGGTGGAAATGAAATATCGCTGTGGCTCTTGGAGCGGGATAATATTCGACAGTTACCTGCTCAGCTAGCCAGAGTACCCAGCCGTGGAGGATCGATAGTCCAGATGAGCAGGTGAACCTTGACGGGGATTTTCAAAGGTGAAAACAACCCAGTGGTTTTGCGCCGAACATGAACGAGTTTGGCCAGGAAGGAAGTCCCTTCTTTTTGCAGGAGGCCATCCTTCCTACTAGGTAGTAGGTACTGTACCTGGTAGGCACTCAGGGTCAGGGCCCGTCACACTCACCAACTGGATGAAATTCAAAGGGAATAGAGAATATACTACCAGTACTCTCAAGCATGGCGCCCGCGACATCGTGTACAGTACGCAAGCGTCTTCCAGTGAGAATGGAAAGACAAACAGCCAATCATCAGCTTTGGCGCGGACTCTCCAGGCTCGGCTCCACTGCGCCATTTCTCCACTGCACCATTTCTCCCATTCTCCAATTCGCCACTGGGCATCTCCCCATACCTACCGTTATCTCAATGAACTTCCTGTTCGAGGGCCAGCCTGGGCGACCACCCAAGCGAAGGGGCCGTATTGCGCATTCGTGTGACGCGTGTTTCACTCGCAAGGTATTGCACCCTTATGCAGCGCGCTGGTTCCTGAGCAGAGCTAATGGCTAATGGCTGTCACCCAGATCAAGTGCAATGCCGCAAGCCCGCGGTGCGACTGGTGTTCCCATCAAAACCTTCCATGTACCTTCGATAGAAACAAGCAGTACGCTTAAATACCACATCTGCCCAACGACCCATCGCTTACTCAGGCACAGAAAGAATCTCACCAATCCACCGGAGCGGAAGATCCACCCAAGCCCAAGCCCCGCGCAACCATACCAACCGTATGCGCCCACGTTCACCCAAGACCTGCATTTCGCCGGTCGCCATCTGGGGAATATCTGCACTTTCGATGGGGTGCCATTTTTTTCTGCCAGCGGGCGCGAATGGATCGCCGCCTGCACGGGAGACCAATTCCGCTTCCATCAGCCAGCAACTGAGTCAACCCTGGCGCAGCAACCACCCACCCCGGTGGCAAGCGCAGCTGAGCTCCCTCTACCCGACCTCCAATTTCTCTGCAGCGAGCTCAGACACTATCAAGCATCCGCTTTTGCACTGTTCTTCCCGGTCATTGATGCATGCCTCTTCGAGAGCACGATCAAGGCGGCGTACAGCCGGGAATACTCGGCCGCGTCCCCCGGGGTGAACAGCGCACGCGCGTGCATCTTCGCCTTCCTCGCGTTGACCTCGCTGACGGTGCATGGGCCGAAGGGCTATCCACTCCGATACAGTGACCAATATTTCGAAGCCGCGCAACGGCTTTTGCCTGCTGTCTTGGGCGAGCCTGTGTCCGTGGACGGGCTGCAGACCGTTTTGTTACTGGTACGCCTCATCCACTACGCCCACCGAGTCCCCACGAACTAACCTCAAACAAGTGTCTCTGCTGCCAAGGTCTCGCAGGGAACCTCTATCTAGTCGACCACTTCCTCTCAACCGCCGCGCGATTCATCTACTACCTGAAAGGCAACACATCCCCACACACTGCCACCGCCCCCGCATCACCGATCGACCATCACATCCGGGAACTCTTCTGGGTCATCTACGTCTGCGACAAGGGCCTGACGATGGTGACTGGCCTCCCGCCACGCCTCGAAGACAGCCACTGCGATCTGACCCTCTCACCGAACACTCAACCACCCCAGATCTGCGGTGACCCCTGCCCCGGAAGCTACCTGCACACCTACGCCCGTCTCGCCGTCCTCCAATCCCGCATCTACCGCGACCTCTACTCCCCGTCCGCCCTCGGCCAATCCGACGCAGACCTGCTGCGCACGATCCGCGACTGCGACCACGCCCTGGAAGCATGGAAGGCGACCCTGCCACCCGTGAACCAGCCCTCGCTCGCAGCGGGCCGACGCACCCCGCCGCACCGCGACATGCGGTTCTCGATCTTCCACGTGCAGTACCACCACTGCATGGTGCTGATCCACCAGCCGAGCAGCCGGTGTGCCGCGTGGACCCGGAACCAGGATACGCGGGGCACGAGCTCGAGCCTGGCGATCTCCGTCGCGGCCAGTCGGGCGCTGCTGGAGGAGTTCCTCGAGTCGCGGCTGGAGTTGGGGCCGGAGAATCTCCTGTATGTCTTGATTTTCCGTCCTCTGGTTGGAAGGCGTGGGTGCGACAGTACTAATGAGTCAAAGGTTCTCGTTGTCCTATTTCATCCAGGCTGCGATCGTGCTTTTCTGCCATGTGCTCTCGCAGCCGCTGCACGCCGATAGTCAGGCGGTCTTGGGGCTGATGGGGCGGATCGCGGAGCTGATTCACCGGTCGGCGTACCAGCAGCATCCCCGCTGCTATATCATGCGGATCGAGACGGCCAGGGGTAATATTCTGGAGTTGAGGCGGCTAGCGGAGTGTGCCATTGTCAAGGCGAGGGGGGAGGTGAGCACCACGTAGTCGCGGTGATTGGGTGGAGCGGAAGTTGTTTTCTATTCCTGTACATGAAGGATAGGTTTCGAGATGTTTTGTATGTGTACACATTAGCTATTATTGCGAGGTGATTATATCTATCATGAGGCGAAAGAGCCTCGCCGATGCAGTTCCCAACCTATGCATCTAAGCTCCCTGTTGGAGGACGAGTGCGCCGTTAGCAACTACTGCTCGACATTCTGGTACCCCCGCCGTCCCCATTCGCTCTGCCGCCACTGCTTCTTGTATGTATCCATTTCGGTCGACTGGACTGGGCTCCGGGGGCTTTCAGCCAGCGCCCGCTCCAGCCGCCCCTGACGCCGTTGCCGTATGCAGTAGAGCACGAACGCCGCCACGGCCGCCGCGGCGACAACCGCGGCGGCGCAGTACACCCCGACATGAGCCGCTGTCGGTAGATCCGCCCACTTCTGCGCCAGAGTCTTTTGAGGGGTCTTGTTGATCTCCGCTTTCGCCGTCGAGTTCCCACTACGCTCACCCGTTAGGCTACTCCCACTCACCCAAGCAGAACAAGCAGTCACTCACCTAACCACCTTGATACTCTCGTACGACCCCGAGTGATCCGTATACTGATACTCCCTCCCGGTATGAAAGTCCTGCACGCGGATGCGCTGCACCGCCATGGTGAACGGCAGATCATCCCAGTCCACCAGGCCGCCGGCCCACTCGATATTGCCGAGCGACTCGGACGGGATGCCGGCGGGCCACACGCTCACCTTGACACGACAGGGCGTCTGCGGGTAATTGCGGCCGTACAGTGTCAGCGGCTCGGAGTAGTTGACGGTGCGCACGAGCCGGCCGTCGATCCACCACTCGAGCCGCTCGCGGTCCCACTACGAGGTGTAGTTGTGGAACTGGGAGTCGGCGTGCGCGACGGCATGGATCCCGCCGCGGTCGCTGGTGGTGGTGTTGCCCTTGCCGAAGAAGTCCGACTGCACCGCGCTGGTGTTGTAGCCCACCCACTCCCAGTCGATCTCGTCGAGGTCGTCCGACTGCAGTATCACGCTGCTGATAACCCCGGGCCCCGCCGCCATCTTGACGTGCGCCTCCATCACCCCGAAGAAGATGTAGAAGTTCGACTGCAGCAGCGTCGAGCCGTTGACGCTGCGGATCGAAAAGTTCGCCCCCTCCGCGGTGTACTCCGGCGTGCCGGTCGTCATGTTCCACAGGGTGCTGTCCAGCGTGCGGTTGAACCACCAGGTGTGTGCCGTGCCGAGGGCCGCGTCGGCCGGGCAGGTTTGGTTCAGCGGGTTGCAGTCGGTTTCGTCTGCCCGGGTGAGGGTGGCGAGGATGAAGAGGAGGGGAAGGAGGAGCATGGTGGCGGGTCGGAATCAAGGCCCTCTGTAGGCGCAGTGCACGTGTGTTTGGCTTTCATGTTGGTGTGAGAAAGGTGGAGGGGTCGAGGAATATAAAGCCCGGCGCAGATCCTGGTGGTGAGTCTCGATGGCAAAAGGGGCGAAAAGGCGAAAAGCGACAGCCAACCGGCTGCGTAGAGTAAGACACTGGGGGAAAGGGTCCACCGGGATTCTATTTCAAGATATCCTCATCTCGGTGGTGAAGTGTGTGGATATGGAGTGCATCGCTTATGGATTGTCGCTTCGATGTTCTTCTGGTTGGGTGTTGGCCAGTGACATCTTGCATCAGAACCGCCGCGCTGGCGTCGAGCATTGCTCCTTGAAAATCCAAATGCAGTACTCAGATAACTGGACTTCCTTTGAGTTGGGAGAATTTGTATGATAGGAGATTATGGAGTAGATCAGGAAGCAATTGTCGATCTATGGAATTCTCCGACGCCTTACCAGGACTGGCATGGTAGAGGTGAGTAAGCGGACAAAAAAAGCGCTAGCCTGGACTGGCATGGTGTGGATTGTGGATGCAAACACGGCAAACTCGCGCAGCCGAGATGGCGGTGAGGGAAGGCAGGAGCGTCTCCGAGGAAATGACGGCATCGTCTCAACCCTTTGACTTTCTCCTCTCCTCTCCCAAGGTGATCACTCGTTATCACTCGATAGACTGGCCCCCACCTGCTCCACCTGTTGTCCACGGTATCAATTTCCTCTCCCTCACTTTCTCCTTCCTCTCTCCTCTCCTCCTTCTTCCCTCCACGCAATTCAATCAACAGCCTGTTTGACTGACTGATACTCCCTCTCAAGATGCGTCTCCATCTCTCCGGTCTCTCGCGACGAGCCTTGAAACCGTACGTTGCCGAATTTCTCGGCACCGCCCTCATCATCGTGATCGGTGACGGCGTCGTGGCGCAAGCCCTGCTCTCCGACTACCAGTATGGCACCTGGCTCTCCATCAACCTGGCCTGGGCGGCCGCCGTCTGTCTCTCCGGCTACATCGCCGACCCGAGTCCCGCCAGCAATCCCGCCATTTCCCTCGTCATGGCCTTCGTCCGCCCGCAGCCCGAACAGTGGAAGAAGTTGCCCGGGAAGCTGCTGGCCCAGTTCCTGGGAGGCTTCGTGGGCGCGGCCATTGTCTACATTAACTATCGGTCGGCCATCCTCGACTGGGACCCGGAATATACAATCCCGGGGGGGTCGATTTTGAGCCCGCGGGGCCACCACTCGGCCGGCATCTTCTCCACTTATCCCTCCAGCTTCTTCTCCTCCAATTGGGAGGCGGTCTTCTCGGAAGTCCTCGGATCGGCCGTGCTCATGTTCGGCTCGCTGAGCGTCTCGGACCCGGCCAACGCCCACCGCTTCCACTCCCCCCAGTTCTCCATGTTTGTGCTTCTGCTCGCCATTGGAGCCGCGTTGGGCTGGCAGACTGGCTACGTAGGTGCCCTCACGATTTGATCTGTGTGTAGGATGCTAACCGCGATGGCGTCTCCTAGGCGATCAATCCCGCACGCGACTTTGGCCCGCGCCTCTTCTCGGCCATCCTCTACGGTCGCGAGGTCTTCACCGCCGCCAATTACTATTTTGTTGTGCCCTTGTTCGCTCCCGTCGTCGGCTGCTTCGTGGGAGCCACGGTCTACGATTCGCTGCTGTATGAGGGGGATGGATCGCGCATTGCGGACGCGCTGGACAAGGCCGAGGACGTGGATGGAGAGCTGCGCCTGCACTAGTGACCGGGATATCGATGATTCCCATGCTTTATGAGCGGACTGGAATATCGATGATTGCCATGTTTTATCATGAATGACCACGACAATGAACCCACGGATCGTCTGGACGACCGAGGCACGAAGACTACCTGGATGACGGGAAACGATAGACTGGATCTGGATAGACGATGGGCCATACGGAGTAGATGGTAGATGATTATCCTAGAATACGGTTATTATAGACACAAATGACACAAATGAGTCAAAACGAACCGGGTTCTGCGTTGGATAGAGACCTACAACCCGCCAAGATTCGGTGATTGTCTCCGGTCGGCTTCCGCGATAAGAGCGGGATCAGGTCCATGCGCCAGCTCTTTCGCCGGTGACTCACCTTCGACTTAGAAAAACCCTGCGTGTTGTCAACGACATTCAATTGACTCGACGATCACAACCGCAATCAATCTACCCCCGCCAACCAAACGGTAACTATTGCAGGACCGTTATCCCAACGCCGCTGATCAAGCCCTGCTAGTCCCCACTCATAGCGCGCGGCCCATGGCGTCCAACCCGTACACGCTGTACTACGCACCAGGCACGGCCAGTCTGTGCGTGCACTGGATGCTGATCGAGGCCAACCTGCCCTTCGACGCGATTCCCGTCGACTTCACCACGGGCGCCCAGCACACCGAGGCCTACCGCCGACTGAACCCGACCGGGCGCGTCCCCACGCTGATCGTGGACGGCGAGGCGCACGGGGAAAGCACGGCCCTGCTGATGCTGCTGGCGGAGCGCCACCCCGACCGCGGGCTGATGCCGGCCGTGGAGCAGGCCGCGACGCGCCCGCAGTGGCTGCAGACGATGATCTACCTGGCCAACACGGTGCTGCCCGCGATGCGCGACTGGTTCTATGCCGACACGGACGGCCCGGCCGAGGGGGCGGCCGCGGTGCGTGCCCTGGCGCGCCGACGGATCGAGGGGGCCTGGGAATCACTGGACGCGCGCCTGGCCGATTCGGCGGGCTCGCGCGGATCGCCTTTATCGCACAAACCTCCAGGTTATCTCGTCGGGGAGAGCCTGACGACGGCGGACTTCCTGGCCGTGATGCTGATGCGCTGGGCGCGCGACATGCCCCGACCGGCGACGAGCTGGCCGCATCTGGCCTCGTACGTGGATCGCCTCACGGCCTTGCCTTCCTGGAAGGAGGTCTGTCGTCGCGAGGGTTTGTCCGATTGGCCCCCGGCCAGGGGTCGGTGATAGTGATAGTGACGGTGACGGTGACGGACTGGGGATGTACCCGTAATGAGGAGCAAGTGAGCTATCCAGGTCAGGAACGCATCTATCCAGCTTAGTGGGTGTTGCTATTATACTCCGAATACCACCGTGCTTCCCATGCGCCCATGCGCCTTGAGGGGATTGAAGTCTCTGCAAACCTGTAACACGAATTATAATACGGCTGCGTATAGGTGGAGATTGATTGACATGATTGATGGATTGATTGATTGATTGTGGAGGCAGAAGTGATGGATCGAATCGCACGGGCCGGGGGTTTGAGGAAGAAGACCCAATGACTTCACCATCGGCGCCGTCACGATCCCCAGCAATCCTGGATGGACTACGGAAGTATAGTTCCAGCCGTTATAGGCCTCCAATTGCCTGATTGGGCATGATTGACAGGGCTAGTCTTAGGGGATGCCTTGACGAAGCCCCTGTCCAATGTGGTACGGGAGGCCCGACCGACCACTTCGGCACATCAGCCCCGATTATCAGAACTGCACTGCGCCGCCAATTTCCCTTAGCAGAGGTAATACAGGGCCCTACGGACGATCTGCCGGGTCTAGTACGGATTGGATCCCGTCGTGAATTCTGGGTGTCGGGTGTCTCGACTCTGCTGTTAAACTCTGACGGGCCCTCGACCCTTGGTTCGGCCGAAGGAAACCTCCTGCCGCATGAGGCTGTCAGTGGTGGACACATCACAAAGATGGGTCGTGCAGCATCAAGATCTCCACTTTACTCCAGTGCTTGCTGCTGGTTGGGGCGCGCAGTGACAGGTGCCGTTCACAGGTGCATGCGTCGTCCACTCAAACGGTGACCGTTTCACCTGCTCAACCTTAAGGCTCGGTCGCAAAAATTGGGCGAGGGCCCCCCCTTCCGCCCCGTGCAGCCCGCCAGGGATTCGATGGCTCACATCAGTGGAGTCGGCTTAATCTAAGTCTTGCCTGTGGTCGCAATCCCTCTTCTAGATTTTTGACTTAGGATGCTTCCCCGTTGATCCGCGGGTTTCCCCTGCAGTGGCGGTTGGGGTTTGAGGGTATCTAAATGGCGCCATGTCCGCATTGCTGTTCCGGACAGACAGGGCTGGTACACTCTGTCTGTCTTTGCGGGACATTGACATTAACATTGACTTCCTTGTCAATATTATTTTCTTTCCTTTGTCGAAGTTCACTCAGCCAGACTGAGTCTCCCTAACCGCCATGCCTGGAGGGCTGAATCCGCCGTTGTCGGTGATCGAGTCCTGGCCAGCACCCAACACTGTCAATCCCGACTCGCATGGCCCGGCAGCCATTGTGGTCGCTGCCGTCTTCGGAGGGATCGCAATCGTCACGGTGGTGGTGCGGCTGTACGCACGGTGTCTTATTCAGCACACGGGCGGCATCGATGATATCCTGATTGCGCTGGCTCTGGTATGTGACGTCGCGACGTCCTCATTCTCGGCTCAAAGCTGACCACTACCAATTCCAGCTACCGACCCTCGGCCTCATCATCTCTGTCCCGATTGGTAAGCACCACCCTCCCATTCTTTGGAGACAATCGGCTGACTGCGAATCCCACAGCCAGCGAAGTCTACGGCGAGAAACACCACACGTGGGACAACAGCGTCACGAACCTGATCGGCGAGCGCAAGGTGGCGGCGGCGTCGGAGCTGTTCTACGTGCTGGCGTCGGGGTTGATCAAGACCTCGGTGCTGCTGTTCTACCGGCGCATGAGCCAGCGGACGGTGTCGCCGCGGTTCCGCGCGCTGATCTGGGTCAGCATCGGGTCGGTGGTGGCGTACAGCGTGGCGTTCGTGCTGGCGCTGTTCCTCTCGTGCCGGCCGCTGCGCGCCTTCTGGCGCCAGGTCGACCCGGCCTGGGCCCTGACGCACCACTACCGCTGCTACGACGAGGGCGCGCACCTGATCGCGGCGACCTCGATCAGCCTCGCGCAGGACCTGCTGGCCACGACCCTGCCGGCCGTGTTCTGCATCCGGCTGCACATGCGCCGCCGCCAGAAGGTCGCCCTCACCGCCGTCTTCTCCGTCGGGTACCTCACGGCCGTCGTCGCGGGGATTCGGATCTACTTCCTGTGGCGCATGTTCTACGCCTCGTACGACGGGTCCTGGATGGCCTGGTACTGCTGGGTGCTGGCCCTGCTGGAGGTGGCCCTGGCGGCAACCTCGGCCAGCCTGCCGGCCGTCAAGGTGTTCTTCCGCTGGTACCAGGTGCCGTCGAGCCTGGCGGGGAAGCTGCGCTCGTTGAAGCTGAGCCACAGCCATAGCCACAGTACGCGGACGCCGACGGGGCAGTCTGGTTCGCACGGGGGGCATAATCGGGAGCGGACGCGTGGTCGGCAGTCCGGCGATACGGATCAGTATCTGGTGACCATGGAGACTGCCTCTGGGGATGAGCATCCCAGAATGGTGGAGTTGGAGGCGTTATCGTCGCCGTCCGGGGAGGGAGAGGAGCGAGAGCGGGAGTTGAGCAAGGGGGCGGCGGAGAAGAGCTGCCCGTGCGGCGGTAGAGACGACATTGTTTGATTGGATTTGTATATACTAGCAATAAAACAGTTTGTGAGCGATGAAGCGTGCAGTATTGGTATTTAAGAGGAATACAAACGATCAACGACAAGTAAGGCTAGGCCCAACCGCGCGAGGGCGTTACTTTTCCCGCGGCGCGGGCCTCGGCAGTGGGGATCGCAACGAGATCCTGTTGGTGATTCAGCATGCGATCGCGCATTCAACCGCCTAAACGGGTTAACTTACCCGGTCGGCACCGCATTCTATGGGCCCGGGTGGCCGTGCAAATGGCGACATTGGCTGGCCGGAGTGCATGTCCCCGCACGAGGGGATGGGGGAATGCTGCTGCAGGCATTTTCTGCATCTTCTGAGGGGAACCTGGGCTATATAACCGCTGTCAATAGTCTGGCGCGCTCGTCGGCAATGTTGTTTCCTCTCATTTCCCATCTCTGACTTACCTCTGTTTCTCTCATCCCCTCACACACAACACTCCATCCACCACCACCTCACGAACAAAATGGCCATTTTACTCCACCCCCTCCTCGCCAAACCCATCCAAAAGGGCAACCCCAACTTCTCCGGCGGAACCCTCAAATGCCACTGCACCAGCAACCCGGTCACCGTCACCGTGACTAGCAACGTCGCCCACAACCACGCGTGCGGCTGCTCGAAATGCTGGAAACCGGGCGGCGCCCTGTTCTCGGTCGTGGGCGTCGTGCCCCGGGAGAAGGTGTCGGTGTCCTCGCACGCCGAGAAACTGGCCATCGTGGACGAGGCGGCCGTCATCCAGCGCCACGCCTGCACGGCCTGCGGGGTGCATATGTTCGGGCGCATCGAGAAGGACCACCCCTTCAAGGGGCTGGACTTTGTGCATGTGGAGCTGTCGGACGAGAAGGGGTGGCAGGAGGTGCAGTTTGCCGGGTTCGTGTCGAGTATCATCGAGCAGGGGTTTCCGCCCCAGAAAATGGAGCACGTGAGGGGTCGGTTGCGCGCGTTGGGGCTGGAGACGTTTGATGTGCTGGCGCCTGCGTTGATGGATGCTATTGCGGCGTGGACGGCGGAGAGGGAGGGGAAGTTGAGGGCTTCGCTTTAGATCACTCTGGGGTGTCTGCGGGTGGATCGTTGGTTTCTGGGCAATGTATCTTTGTGAGAATGTTAGCGAGGGACTTTGAGGAGTGTGTTGGGTTTGAATGGCAATGCTAGCGCCCGGCTGACAGCATGGCGATGAGGAATTCGCGATGGGTTTGCTGTTGTGAACTAGCCATCTTTTGTGGTAAACTTGCGCTGTAGATGTCAGGACGTGACGGTTGAAAGAAAGTCTATGGTGGTTGGTTTGGGATATGACGACAGGAATTTAGATTCTTACCCTCATGGATGCTGTTTATGAATCAGTGGACGTAGAGCGGGAGGGCAAACTGTTTTTGTAGATGAGGAGCTTGGGTACCTTGGGGGGTGAGGAGGCAGCAGGCACTACTTGGTCTCACGCCGGTAGATTTGCACAAGGAATGGCGCCTAAATTTGTCAGCACGGATGAGAGCTGTTGGGATCGGCCGGACAGCCGGGACAGTCAATTGGTAAGCGGCATCTCACACCCGGAAGGTGACCAGACGTGACTGGTTTGTACGGAAAATTCATGACAGCGCAGTAATACGGTCATTAATGGAACACCTGCTGGGTCTTTCCTGTTCCAGAGACTACAACCGGATTCTGAATGACTTGGCAGACGTTGTTGCTGACCAATTCAAGAGCGAACCTGGGCTGAGCAAGTACCCTCCCCCAGCGGGAACTTATAAATGAGGACCTGGTTTGGTAGATCGGGGAAAATTAATGGCATGTCAGACAACCTTCCTTGAAGTGACAGTCCAATTCTCAATCAGTTTCGATAACTCTGGCCCAGCATGGCCGAAAAATCTAAAATCGCCCTCGTACTAGTCGACCCCTACAACGACTTCCTGCACCCTGACGGCAAGCTCACCCCGTTGCTGAAAGACCTCGAGGAGAAAGAAACCATCAAACACATCGAGGAAGCCGTGGCTGCCGCCCGCCTGCATCGCATCCCAGTTTACTACGGACTACACCAGCACTGGACCCCATCTGCCTTTCAGGAATGGCGACACATGACACCCAACAACGTCAAGCAGGAGAGAATCAAGTTCTTCGAAGCAGGCACGTTTGGTGCCGAGATCTACCAGGGATTAGAACCAGATGCCAGCAATGGGGATGTGGTCGTGAGTCGACACTGGAATAGCGAGTGAGTTTTCTCGCCTTGACATGGTAGAGCTGCGCTGTTGCTAATGTGCATCTACTGGGAAGCTCCTTCCAGAATACCGACCTGGACTACCAGCTGCGCCAGCGCGAGATAGTGAATCTGGTGCTTGCCGGGCTGACGGCCAATACTTGTCTGGAAGCTACTGCGCGGCATGCTTTTGAGCTGTAAGTCTCTGGGGTATATGAGACAAGGAACTTGGTAGACGCTGATGATATTGTTTTACTACACAGAGGCTACAATGTGACTCTTCTGTAAGTAATTTGCTCCTCCGAGATTGCACATACTGATAGGAATGCTTTCGTAGCAAGGATGCCACGGCCGGGTGGTCTAAGGAGCTGACGGACGCGGCGACCGAGTTGGTCTGGCCGTTGTTTGCGCAGGTGAAGTCTGTGGAAGGATGGGTGGAATCTTTGAAGGCAGAGGAAAGTGCTTAATGTTGTTTGACAATACAATCGATCTAGCTGATGCTATACCAGAGTAGTTAATTTGGACTGAATAATGTAGATTATTGTTTAGTTGCTATGTCAAATTTGTCATCAATACCAATTGCAAAGCGTTCACTGCGTGTCACGATCACGTGCGAATAGACTGTTTGCCCATTCTTCTGACTAATCTACTCCCGCCTCGGCTTGTTGACGGAAACAGCTGAGAAACGTGCGAACATCTTCAATCTATCGCCCCTCAACCCACAACCACATACACCGATGGCCGTACGGAAGACACGTTCAAAACGCCCTACGCGTGGCTCAGATAACCGACGAGTTGGTGTCCGTACCGCCCACGCAGAGGCAATGTCGGAGTCGCCGGTCGCTCATCCCGAAACCCCATCACGGATCTCGTGGGTGGACACCCTCGCCGCCTTAGAGCGAGAACCCATGGCATCGCAGATCCAGCGGCATAAACAGTGGAAACGTACGTGTTCCTTCCCTGCCTCCTGCATCGACTGCCTTTCGTTCTTACAATGCCGAGCTTAGGAGATGGCTCGATCCACGAAACATACTGTCGGGTTTGCTTCCGCGAGGAGAACCTGGAGCCATGTGTGACCTGTCGACTGGCATTTCACGCCCACTGTCTGCCGACCGGGTGGATGCGAGATACCGACCACCACATGTTCTGCTCTGCCTGTGTCCGGCGCGAGTGGCATATCTCTCCTCCGACACTGACACCTCCTACCTCCCCACAACCGGCGGGGGTAGAGACATCAGGTGGAGCTCCCGCCGCCTCTCCCGCCCTCCATCCGAGAACACTGTCCTCTACTCCTTTGCCTCATGGCAGTCTATCTCATACCAAGCCGCTCATTTTCTCCCCGCTCCCCGGACACAGCCTCTTACACGAACCCAATCCAGCCAACGACAGCACTATCCCCGCCCCGCACCCCGACCCATCCCGCCCGCCAGCCCGCCGCAACCGCAAGTCCCGGTACACGAACCTCCCCGCCGATGTCGACGCCTCGCTGAACGTCCTCTACCGCGAACTAGAGTCGAACGCGTCGCTGCGGCTCGAGAACGAGGACCTGCGCGAGGAGAACCTGCGGTGCCAGCAGATCATCAAGATTCGGGATATGAGCCTGACGGCGCTGCGGCGCGAGGTGGAGTATCGGCGGTCGTCGGAGCAGGAGATGGAGACGCTGCACGCGACGGCGGCGCAGCTGGAGAGCGCGAGGAAGGAAGTGCAGGAACTGCGGGCGCGGAATGAAGCGTTGGAGGCGGAGCTGGAGCGGTCGAGGCAGGAGGCGGTTGAGGCGAAGGAGATGGTGAGTGATTGGAAGGCGAAGTTATCTACGCTATTGGGGAGCTGAACGCATCCAGAAACTCGGATGTATTTGTTGTCGGGCGTCTGAACTTGTAGTCATAGACATGATTTGGTTTATTGGGAATTCTAGCTGTCGTCGACTTACTTCCGCTGCCCTCTAAGTCTACCTAGTATCCTCTACCGCACCCTGTGAATACGGTGTCTTCTCACCTCGCCAACTCTATACACCCTGGCAATTGTCATATATTGAAACCCAAGTACCTCCAAACCAATCAAGCTTTCGCCCCCCACTCCCAACCAACCTTGGCCACTCTCGCAGCCAACGCAGCCCCCGCACCGAGTACAACACACACCCCCGCAAAGATCTGCGCCCCGATATAGCTGCCCCCAACGCGCGAGATCAACGCCCCCTCCAGCACCGGCCCTGTCAACGTCGCAAAGCCCACAATACTCAGGATCATCCCAATCCTGGTCCCCGTCCGCTTGATATCCGGGGTCATCGTCGTGGCAGTCGCGGGGAAGAGCGACTGCGCTGCGCCGCCCACCAGCCCATAGACAACCGCAAACACATACAGCCCGGCAACGGTGTCGACCGCCATCCAACATAGAATCACGATTGCGGAGGCAAAGCTGAGCGGAACCAAGACATTAAGTTTCCCAAGCCGGTCCCCGACAAGACTAGGTCCGACCCGTCCGAAAATGCCCACGCCGTTCAGCACCAGAATCAAATCCTGCGTGTCCGTCACCCCGAGGCGGTCGCGCGCGAAGGTCCCGAGGTAGAAGAAGGCGAAGTAGAGGCCCCAGAAGTTGAGGAACATGCTGGCTGTGAAGAAGAGGAAGGGCCGCTCGGTGAACGCGCCCCATTCGATCAGAGGGCCTGTTCGTCGGGGCGGAAGACGGGGCTGGAAGAGCACCACCCCGGGCATCTGCGTCACCAGCATCAGCAGCCCCGCGGCGCGGATCGTCCACCCGAACCCGATCTGCTGCGTGTACAGCAGCTGGTTCACCAGCACGGGGTAGATCAGGCCGCCTGTCGCGGCCCCGGCCGCGGCTACTCCCACCGCGAAGGCGCGTCTTTCGACAAAGTAGGAGGCCATGATCGAGAGTCCCGGGCTGAAGGTCAGGCCATTGCCCAGACCCATGCAGACGGCCTGCGTCAGGAAGATCTGCCAGTAGGTCTTGGCGAGGGAGAGCAGGAAGACGCCGAGCAGCTGGAGGAAGACCCCCAGCGTGAAGACGAGACGGAAGTAGCCTGCGTCGGTGGCGCGGCCGACCACCGCCCCGGCGAAGAAGAGAAGGGAGACCTGCACGCTGCCGATCCAGGAGATGGTCGAGGCGGACTGGGGCAGGGTTGCGGTGTACAGCTGCTCGAAGACGGAGAAGCTGTTGCTTACGCCCCAGGAGTTGAAGAAGACGAAGTGCATGCAGAGGACTTGCGTCCATGCCTGGAGGCCCCCGTCGGGCGGGGGTGGTAGCGGTGCGCTGTCTTCTGGATTGGGGCCGGGGCCTAGGCTTGGAAGACGAGCGAGGGCTCGAAGTGGCTTGTCCGTCCACTTCATTCTGAATCAACCTGAAGATTAGATGACTACCCCAAAGAATGATAGTTCACTGCCTATCGCAGGTAAAAATGGTTTGTGAGGATTGGTTAATGGTGAAGACACCCCCATATACCATCCAAGTCCAGCTCATCCGGGCAGGAGACGCAAGATTACAAATTTGATTACTGATCAGTCCAACAAATACCGACTACCGAGGCCAATACCTACCGATGTACTGCAGCTACCAGTCAATCACTACCAATATGGGCGGCCGTTATGCTTGAGCAAGGCGATGCATACGTGAGCTTACTGTACCTTACCATACCATACCATGCAGCGTGGGATAGCACGTGCTTACCAATCTTAGTCTGCAGTTGCCTATCGCAATAACACTGATTTTGTGGTTGTGCTGTTATCGCTCTTCCTCTCCTATACTTTGACTCATTTTCATGGTGACAGTGGAAGACCCTGAAGCAGATCGCCACGTGACTGTCGCGCTTTCCACTTCACCTTCTCATCTTCTCATCACTTTCCTCAAACTCTCAAACATCTCACCCCGCCGCTTCCACCCTCCTGCTTTCCTTCACAGTCTGATTGCACGTGCGTCGACTCTCGACTCAAATGTCAGTCGCCTCCTCGGCAGCCGATTCCTGGTTGCGAGTACTTTCCTGTTTCCCCATCCATGATAGTAGGTGAGTGTGGTCGTGAAAGTCACAAGATAACCAGACTCAACACCAGACGACTTTGTTCATCCTTGCCTGGTAGGTCCCAGAGCCGTGCAATGAATCCATCCTATGTGGCTTAACTGACTTCAAGATCGATTGCTGAATGATAGTCGATTCCACAGGAAACCCCCCGGTCGACGTTCCCCCCGGTCGACGTCCTCCCCGTTCCCCCCGTTCTCCAAGCTTCTGATTGCCTTCCAGATCTGCTGTACCTTGACTTCGAAACAAATTGACTTTGCCCCTCATCCGTTCCAACGAACCTGCTCGGTCCTCAGCAGCTGCAAAGAGATCCAGACTTGAGCTGGCGGTGGGATGAGCCATTGGCCAGCATCACTGCCGGCTGGACGGGTCGATGATGCGGGTGGCTTATGCGACTCCGACACCTCACCCTAGTCGTGATTCATCGCTGAGCCACTTCACCGGTTAACAGGTACTCTCGTGGATCTATAAAGGTGGCATGCAGAACGATAGAAGAAGTGGGATGCTCTTCTTCGTCGACGCATCCCCGTCCCACTGCTTCTGCCTGGAGACGTGACTTGACCATGACCCGCAGAGCCCTCGAGCAACTCGTCGACACGATCGCGGAGAATGGGGAGATCCTGAAGCAGCAAGTGCGACGCGAAGACCACGACTCGCTCGGAAGCTGCTTGGCTGACCATGTCGGATGAACGGAAATGCCTCCAAGGCGCGTCTGGCTGTCATTGACGCATCGAAGCGGCTGGTCCGTCTGGTGACTGGGCCATACGATCTTTTTTATGATATGATGGCCGAGGTAGCCCACAACCTCCTTGTCGGATGCACTGGTCAACAATTCCCAATGCTAATGCATCACGTTTGATAGGTTTTCCAGGTCGGCGCGATCCGGGCACTGATGAACTTCGGCATTCCCCAGTTGATCCCCCTCCATGAGCCTCTAGCCGCTATCGTCCTCGAACTCCTCTCCGGTCTCGGAAGAGACCCCCTCCGTCGCCTGATTCGATATACGGCAAGCTACGGCTTCCTGCAGGAGGTCGAGCCCGAGATGTTTGGTCACACTCCGCTGTCGGCCCTGTGCGTGCACGACCCCGTTGCCACGCGCAGCTGCATGTGGAACCTGAATGTTATTTTCCCGGTCGCGAGCAAGATCTATGAAGGGCTCAAGGTCGACCCGTCTGCCAGCGACAACACGCGCTGCGCCGCCAGTGTGGTCTACGCTTCCCCGGAGAAGCAAATCACCAATATCTGGGACTATCACCGATCGTCCCCGAAGCTGGAGCTTGGTTTTCATGACTATATTAATGCGACGACGCGGAGTGCGTACTACTCAGCCTTGCACGCCGTGCGGGGATTCGACTGGTCGAGCGTGCAGACTGTCGGTGATGTAAGAAGTAAAACTATCTCCAGCTTCTCGACTGAGATGCGCTAATGATGATGCTCATAGATTGGCGGCTCCTCGGGCCATGTGAGCATGGCGCTCACCGATGCACATCCCCACCTCCACTGCATCGTCGAAGACCTGCCCGACGTGATTAGCGAGAGCCGCCAGACGCTACCCCCAGCCTACGCGGACAAGATCGAGTACCTGGCCCATAGCTTCTTCGAGCCCCAGCCTGTCGCTTCAGCGGACTGCTTCCTTCTGCGTTTTGTCCTGCATAACTGGTCGGATGAGGACGTCTGTCGGATAATCGCGAACCTGTCGCCCGCCCTGCGGCCCGGCGTGTGGGTTCTCATCGCGGACATCGTCGTCCCAGAGATAGGATCTCCCTCGGGCCAGGTGGAGGCAATCGTGCGGTACATGGACTGCCGTATGCTAGCGCTGTTTGGGGGTCGGGAGCGGACCAAGAATGATATCGTCGCGCTGGTGCAGGGGGTGGATACTCGGCTGGTATGGAAGTCCTGCACGCAGCCGGAGGGGAGTGTGGCGAGCTTTCTGGCTTTTCAGTGTGTTTGAACTGCTTTTTTTGTCGTAGCTGGTAGCGAATCTTGAGATTGAGCTTGATGATGATGATCACATGAGTGCATTGCTTCTTCGCGATGTTGGGGCAGGTTGCGACTCCTTCGGCTCCCGTTGAATAGGTTTCCTAGCAACATAATGATTCTCGGTTCTCGGGCTAGGCATAATGTGAGACTATAGGCATCAACATGTATCATTGACAGTCATAAGCTATTACATTGACATCTTTAAAAAGACCGGTTAACGTGATATGTAGCCATGCATATCATCCATGTTGGGGCTGGACATTGGCCATATTGTTTCTTACTCTTGGGAACGATTAAAATCACTGACTGCCTTGATATATACAGAAAGGCAAACCCAGGAAAGAAAGGAATCGATTGTGTGAGTTGGTTTGATTTCCGTACATATCACTATTATTAGTGTTGTTGGATCTGAAACTGTTAAGTACTGATTACTGAGGCGGCACGGGCGAGGAAGCGACTGTGTCTTCCTTGGTTGGAAGACGGTGGCGTTTTCTTTCCCTCTTGCTTCCTCGTCACTTCTTCCTTTTTCACCACCCTCATGTCTCTCTTGTTCGAAATACCCTTGAGCGAATCCATCGTTTGAATGCTTTATTCGACCATCTTTATAGCATCACAGATAGCCTCATCCTTCCGATATAAGGTTGTCGCCCGCAGCACCAATGACCTCAGTCGTACTGTCCCTCCTGCCTCGCAGACTATTCAGCGGGATCCCTGTATTTGGCATTCAGCACGTTGCCGATCTTCAGCAGCTCCTCGCGCCAGTGAGCCGAATCGACCTTCGCAACAGCCGCCGGGTCCTTGTTGGGCCAGTCGGAATCATAATCCAGGTCCTCGCGCAGAGTCAATGTGCCAGTCCAGAAGGGTTCTCCCAGACCGTCCACTAGGCCGGGGCCCTGAGCGTCGCCAGCGTGGGGGTCCCTCCAGATGTTGACCTTGAACTCCTTTCCATTGCTGAAGAAGAAGTCGCCGGGCACATCTGCGGTCGCGGACACCTTTCCGGTGACGGGCTGCATGGCCACCTCGGGGTGCTCGGCCAAGGCGAGGATCAAGCCGTTGGCGAGGTCGTCGGCACTGATGCTGTCTTCTACTCCCGGGTCGGGGGATAAGGAGACGTTGGCGGCGGACAGGGCGACGTTCGGAGACCGGACCAGCACGTGGGAAATATGCTGCTGCGCCGGCGTGCCGTAAAGATAGAACGGGGTGTCCGTCTTTGGATATTGCGGGTCTCGGTTCACCACGTTCAACGGCCGGCTCTTGATGATATCGTCCTTAGTGATTGTGACCTCTCCTGTGGACAAGGCGCGCACGTCCCTGGAGTGTGACGTTAGTATTGGGATTTGATTCCGAGATGGGCTAAACAGGTAGGGAACATACAAGTCGGGATTCTCGTGTTGGCGGAGATAGTCCACCTTCGCGTATATCTCGGCGTTGAACGTTAAGTCCGTGTGGGGAAGATCGCGAATGCCCTGCTGAAGGTTGATCACATCCTGGGACACCAGGAGGAGAGATGTCTCTGGGCTTTGGTTCTTGCAATCCCGATACTTCTGTTCGAGGTCGGGGCTGAGGGTGGCGCGGACGATCAGCTGCTGGCGGAGAGTGGCAGTGTGGAACGAGGTTTGCAAGACCAGGAAGGTCTTTCCGGACTCCTCGATGCCTTGCAGGAGGAATTGGGCCTTGTGTGCCGCGGGGTCGTTGCGCTTTCGGACTTGTTGGACTTCTTCGTTGACGACTCGCTCGAATTCGTCCCACAGCGTGCCGATGAAGTAGTGCTTGGTGGGGAAGGGACTCATCACTACGTTGCGCAGGACGAACAGGTCTTCGTCGACCTCCGTGAGGCCCAATCTGCGCATGAAGGTCTTTGCGCACGCGCCGTAATGTTTGGGCTCAAACTTGGTCGAGGTCAGGTAGACGGGGATCTTGGTTGGGTCGGTGTCCACCCCCGTGATGGACAGCCGGTCAACGACCCTCTTCATCAGGTAGTTGGCTTCTTCGATGTCGGTGTTCAGGGTTGTCTTCGCCTCGTCGACGTAGAAGTTGAGGGCAAAGGCGTTGATATTGGTGTCGGAGCCCAGTTGGCGCAGCAGGTTCATTGCGACAGGGTCCTGCAGGAGGGCCTCGTTCTGCTGTCCCAGGATGCGCATTCGAATGAGATCCCGGTCGGCCTCAACCTCTGGGGAGTTGAAGGCGTGTCCCTCCTGCTCCCGGGGCAGTCGGTTGAACGGGACGCAGATGAAGTCCTTTCTGTTCTCCTGCCTGAAGTCACTGTGGACGGCATAGCGCACCGATAGCTGCCAAATTGTCAGACCAGATAATCAAGACTCGCTCGCGAGGAACCTACCCTGGAGCTGGTGAAAGATGCCTGACCCAGCAGCTTCCCGTATCCGTCGGGATCCAGACCAATCGTCTGGTTGGAGAGCCACGTTGACATGGCAGCTGCGCCAGGTTTGCTGCAAGAGCGACCATGAATGGATGGCTAGTCGGTGCACCCTCAGCTGGAGCAGTCACGGAAGAAACTTACCTTCCCTCTACCCCATATACCCCAATATTCTCTGCCGACCCCTGCGACAGATAGGGACTGGACCATGTCACCAAGTATCGCATCCGGCCGTCTCTGTACACCAAGCTCCCTGCCGGGTACGGGATATAGCCAGCCTTGTGGGGGTCGACCGTGATAGAGTCCGCATGGCGAAGAGCCAAGAGGTCGGTTTCAGTCTCCTTTCGCAGAGTCAGGGCTGGCACCGCGCCTCTGTCGGCGTCGCCCCGTTCAGGACCCCGGAGTCCTCGGCGCAGCATGGTGGCAAAGTACCCTCCCCAGGCAGCATCTGCATGAACAAGGAAAGACAGACCTTTCTCTTGCATGTCGTTTCGAATCCGCACAATCTCCGACAGCCGGTCGACAGCTCCCTCTTCGGTGGATCCAATCACGGCCACCACCGCATATACGGGGATCTGTTTGTCAAGGCACTCGTTCAGGGTAGCCCTCAATTGCGCCAGGTCGATGTGAGCGTCGTCATCCACCTCGACTTCAAGAAGATTCGCCGAGCCCAGCCCGGCAATGGCTGGACAGGTTAGCTTTCTAGTCCGTGGTGACATTGGCCGACCTGGGAATTTACATACCCAGTCCCTTCGGCCAGGAGTAATGGTTGGTCTTCGATACGATGAATTTCATCGCCTTGAGACTCCTATAAAAGTGGTGGGTCTCGTCGGTCTCCTCATGCAAGAGGCCCGCTGACTGGATGTTATAAGGCTCCAAGGCATTCTTGAGGTAGTCGCTCGAAATGCCAAACTCTCGGTACAGACGATCAGGCAGATCGAGGACAGTCTTGGGCTTCAGATTGAGAAGATCCCAGGTTGCTAACCGTGCAAATTTCTCTGCTCCGCCCCTGCAGGTTTCCACCTCGAACCGATCCGCGATGAAATTCAGGTTCCCGTTCACGATGGCTTGATGAAGGGCCAAAGGGTAGAACTTCAGGTTTCGCGCTGGTCATGTCAAAATGCATGATTTGGGACGTCTGAAAGGGAAGTAAGTACGTACCGACCCAGATCGATTCCAGATTGGCGACCGTGCCGTCGCAGGTGATATGGCCCCATGACATCGGCTCATTCTGTCTTTCTCTATGAGGGTCTTCTGTCAGGGGAGTTTTGTATCCGAACAGCTCGCCCAGTTGCTGTCCGACCAACAACTCTGCGACGGTGGTCATGGGACTGGCTTCGAGGGCGACGTTGTTGGGATTATACAGCATCGTCATGAAGTACCCCAGCAAAGACGGCATGGTCAAGTCAGTGCACATGTGGGCTTCATAGCGGGGAGACCAGAAAGGCACCGAGTGCTCTCCAAGGAGCTGGGCCACTTTTCGGACGACATCACCGAAGTTGTCCCTCACCTTCTGGAACTCCGGCGATCTCCGGACTTCCTTGGTGATGAACTTCTGGCTCTTTCAACGGGTCAGTCGACGCGAAACAGCAGAGGGGGGAAGGCGAGTACATGATCCTCGGGGTAGTAATCAAGCCGGGTTTCAAGCAGTTCATCCAGAATGGTGTTAATGTTTGCTCTGAAATCAGGCATGTTGGCAGCCCGTGGGCCGATGAAATAGTTGTTGATCACATTTTGGTTGGTGATTTGGTCTTCGCCGCGCTCAGCATGAGCTAGGACTGGAGGTGCATCAGCCATGATGGATGAGTTTTTATCGAAGACTCTGCCGGCTCTGGAAAGATGATGAACACCTTTAGCTGGACTGGCTTGGATGCGGCTTTTATAACAATATCCGATCTTTCGGAGTCTGCTCAGCCGGTTCTATTCAGGTCGCCTCGTATCGTCTATCAAGGTTATCCTTGTCCGGTGCGCCTCGATGCGTCCGACTTGACACCCACTCCACCCGAGCCAGCTTATGGTGGGCTGCGAAACTGCATGATGTGGTCACTCTCCTTCAAGCTCCATTGCAATCGTGGCTGATGGAGTTGCAGATCGATACTACCCCTCCTCCACACTCTCGGATCTCAGTTCTTTGACCTTGCACATCACACCTCTATGCCACGTGCCCCATCTCGATGGCTAAAGATTTCTACTACTAAGGGATCTCCCGATTTACAGAGTTCCTCGCGTACAAACTCAGTTCCTCACGATAAAAGTCACAGCCAACATTATTTCCGCCTAGCATACCTAGCCTACACCAGGTGTGGATGCCTTACAGAAAGAGGGACAGACCACTGTGGCTAGCTGACAGACCAATGATCTTTACTCGATGCGTCTAGCGATGCATACGCAAAGGCCCCTGCCCCCACACCAGGTTACTCCATTTCCTAGATGGTTCGTCGATTCATGTTGGATCGATTTGCCATCCGACTCGCCGAGGAGTAATTCGTGTTCGTGCATTACATCGTCAAAGGCTGACAAGGTGTTGTAGATCTCTACAGGATTCGGCTGAGCGGGGTGGGGATCTGCGGGTCCTGTTCAGCTCCCCCCACCTTTAT